CTTGTTGTCTTGTGGCTTCCTCCTCTCCCCCCCCGCCAGCCAGCCACCAGCAAAGGCAGCTTTTCCTCTGCCGGCTCTCACCCCGCCTCCCGGGCCACACCGATTGCAAAGCTAATTGGCTCTTCTCTGCCCCTCCTCGCTGGCTGGTCTTTGCTCTACCCGCAAGGGGTGTCTCTGGCATACCAGTCACAGGGCTGGGAGCTTCGGCAGCACTGGTTTCAAATTCACTGAGCCAAGCAGCCTGAGGGAGGGAGGGGAGGCGGGGCAGGAAGCTCAGAAGGTGAGGGCTGTAGATTTCATCATGCGCTGCCCTCTCCCTCGCATGTCACAAAGGTGGGGAGGATCAAGCCCCTTCTGGCACGAGTAGCCCGCGGGCTACTCAGGCAGGGAAGGGGGCTGCTCCAGGCACAAAGTGAGTCCAGTTCGGGGCACGTCAGTACTTTGCTGTGAGAGCAGCAGAGCTAACCAGTGACCCCAGGCATCTGTCCCTGCCGTCGAGAAACACACGAGCTGTCGCACCGCACACGCGGCTTCAGTTACACTGAAAACTCTCCCAGTTTTTCCCAAGAGTCCAATTGTTGGGGGGAACGGCAATACCCCCAGGGTGGCCAACTCTTCTTCCAGCTAGTCCCCCCTGTCTGGGGTCATTCCTTGGACTGCAATGGGCTTAGCTTACCAGGTAGGGCCCTGGCAGGCTGTTACACACCCACGCTGATTCCTCAGCAGGGTGGCACTTGCACTTTTTAAATCTAGTCACAGAGAGGTGGCCGTGTTGGTCTGATCTTGGTCAAACAAAAAAGCAGTCACGTAGCACTTTAAAGACTAACAAGATGCTTTAGTAGGTGATGCGCTTTCGTGGGCCAGCCCTACTTCCTCAGATCGTATTCTGAAAGTGAATTGGCGTGACCACTTTATAACAGAGAGATGCAATGAAAGAAGGTAAAAATAAATGACATACAACAGAAGGTGGGAGTGAGGGGGGGAAGCGACAAGGAAGAAGGAAATTGCTTACTGTATGAGTTAATTAAGTGGCTAATCTGGGGTCACTATGAATATCAAAAGGTGGGGGGGGACAAATGGTCTGGTAGCACTTTGTAGACTAGCGAAACATGTAGTCAGTGGTTCCCAAAATATTCGGCATCACGCCCCCCTTTTTGATTTTTGAGAAACCCTCACGTCCCCCTCTCCCAAAAAAATAGCAGCAAAACGTGGGGTGGGATTGATGGGGTGTGTATGTAGCTGGGTCGCCTTGCACCCCCCCCTGGAATTTCTTCATGCCCACCCCAAGGGAGCATGCCCCCCCAGTTTGGGAACCCATGGTGTAGATGGGATCATGAGCTTTCGTGGGCACAGCCCACTTCTTCAGATGGCTGGAGTTATGAGTAAGGGATATGAACACTCAGAATAAATAGGAGGGGGAAGGGGAGGAGGGAGAGAAAGAAAAAGGGAGCGGGTGGGAGACAGAGCATCGTTAAGTATCTGGAGAATGGGTACTTAAACCTAAGCAGATAAAAATCAAAGTCAATAGCCAGATTCCTAAAACAGGGAAACAAAACAGGACTATGCAGCACTTTAACGACTAACAAGATGGCTTATTAGGTGACGAGCTTTCGTGGGCCAGACCCACTTCCTCCGAAGTCGTTTCTCTGCCCAGCCAGCCCCGTTCCCGCCCGTGCA